ACTGGTGAGGAGCAGTGATCATGGACACCAGCTCGGCCATAAGTGTAAATTGGCTTGGCAGGAAATGGTTATATACTGGTTGCCTGATTGTTATGCTGATCCACTGGCTTCAATACCTTGCTGAGCTTGACCAAATATGCAAATCAGAGTAAAGTAAAAAAAAAAAAAAAAAAAAGCTTATTATTGCATACTTGTTTCAGGATACTGAAGAAAGCACTGAAGCAAGAGAGTTTAAACATAGTAGCCAGGCAACAAATATTAACCGAAAAGGAAGTAAAAAAATGGCAGAACGTATATTTCGCACAGGAAGAAACTCCTCACGTTATCTCACCCTTTATGTGCGCTTCACACAATCTGGCTCTCAGATGTTCCATCTCCAAACTATGCCTTCTTTTTAAATTTTCAATTTCAGAAGTGTACTTGTCAGAAAGATCCATCTTCATGTTCAGCAAATCCTCCCGATACTTCCGAGACAAGGCAGCACAGAGATTTTCTATCTCTTGCTTGTGCTTCTCCTGAGATTGCTGCTGAAAAGAAGACAGCTCTTCCTGAAAAACCAAAGTGCACGAACAGAATTACTAAATCACATGAGCATTATAAGTAACACGGCCTATGTTAAAGGTGAAATCCAGATTTACTATGAATTTAGGCCAAGCTGGCCCAAATGAACCATTTCCTTTATTAATAAATACACCCATTGGGGGGGGGGGGGGGGGGGGGTGCTGTATAAATGTTACACAATGCCTTTTTAAGCAAGTTTATGCCAGACAGGAACTAAAATTAAGGGCCTGGTAGCCCATTTATATTAAACAGTAACTGAAAAGTCCTTTCGACACAAGGTTTCCCATGCAAGGTATTTCAACTTCACTCAAAATACACAATGAAAATGCCAAGCCACCTGGCACTCTGGTTAGAGGTATCACTGCTTGGCCTGGTCTCCCAGACCACTGGCTATTCAGACTCTCTCAGCCTAGGAGACAGCTCCTTGCTGTTCAGGCCCCACATGGTCTCTTGACAGTTTTTCCTGTACCTCAGCTTGCTTCCTCCAGAGACTCAAGAATTCCCTCCAGTCCCTTGACCTCACTGGCATCTGCAGCTTCCTCAGTCTCCCAGACCATCTCTTGGTCTCCCAGACTCTTAGCTGGCCAGACTTACCCAGTCATTGGGCCCATATTCCCCCTCAAGGGTTGTAGTCTCCACCAGGAGCTTCCACCTCTCCTGACAGGGCTCTGTCTTCAGGCTTGCCGCAAAAGCAACTTCTATTCCATCTTCACCACTAACTGCTCTCACAAGCCCATGATTATAAGGGCTGTGTGCACCTGGGCACACACCCTGCTGGTTGTCCACAACACCCGGACACAGGGTTGAAGATCCCATTGTGCCCAAGACTCTTAGGAATCTCCAAACTACAGAGCCCCATCTGGCAATAGTACGATCCTGAGACAGACAGAAAGACTGTCCGAGATGGAGATTGGGATATCATCCACCTGCCTCAGCCAGAGGGAGCCTTGTATTCCTTCATAAAAATGAGTGAGCAGAGCTCAGCTCGACTTGATTTTGTTTTGGGAACACGATGGAAGCTCACTTCTTGCTACCGGAAAACAGCACTCTGTATGTATGTAGCTGATGCAACATAGTTTACAAAGCAATCCCAGCAGGCACTTTTGTTAGTCAAGGAAATAATTTGTGTTGGCCAGCTTGGCCCAAACAATCTATTTAAGTCATAGCAAACCTGGAGTTCATTTTTAATTTGCTACTCTACAATCAAGTCACCTTGTGCTGCCCCAGCTGGTCTGTCAAATGAAGAAGGAGATCAGTCTTTTCACTTTCAAAGGACTCATCCAACGACAAAACAGAGCTATGAAGTAGAGAAAAAAAAAAAAAAAAAAACACACAAGAGATTGTCTTATTGGAAATGATTAAAAAAACGGGTTTCATTTCAGCCCATGTTTCTTACTTGAGCTAGGGGAGACATAAAGGTCAGGAGAAAAACTAATACTTGATAGCCTATAAGAAATATCAACCTAGTAAAATTGACTAAAAGAATAAATCCAGTATATTATTCAATTAACTAAAGTGACAGCAAATGCCTTTAGAAGTGTAGTCAGGGCAAACCTGTTCAGTGTACTTATTTCTTCTCTCCCTTCATAGCTCATTTCTCTCAAACGCTGATGAAGTAACTCCAAGTTCTCTCTATAGGTCTCCTCTGCTGCTCTGGACTTTTGTTCAAAGTAAATTCTCAGGTCTTCCATATCCTTCTCATGTGTTGCATTAAGCTGCTGTTGCTGTTTTTGAAAGTCCTGCTTCATTCTTTCAATCTCTTCAAGATGCATAGACCGAGCAATAAGCTGGTCTTTCAACTCTAAAATAAGCATGTTGCAACAGAATTTAGGTTACTGAACATAATTAAAGCTGAATTGTACGCAGATAATAAACACCATTTGTTATAGGGTGATCCTGTAGGCTTCAGTCAAACTTGCGCACTTTCCTGCAAAACACAAAAACGCAGCCCTTAAGCAGACATCCCACTGTGCCTTTAATTCGTAAGGGCGCGTACCAAAAAGCATGATAGAGAACCATGTGTTGTGGTGCAGCACGATTTTTAAAAAGGGTCAGAGACCTCTTTTGCACATTTCTTGCACACAGGGCAGCCCACTGAAATTAAAGGCCGCCCTAAATGTGACGCACAGCGATGCTCAGAAATGCTTGTATGCTCTGTTGTGCCTGCATGGTGTAAACTGAACCTTAAAGTGGAACTGAACTCAAAAAGTCAGGATTTGCTATGTTATTGGGAAACTTTAGAAATGGTAACTGTACTTAAGCATCACCCTCAAAAAATTGTGCTCTGGAATTTTATAGCATGGCACTTCTTGGAATGCAAGGATGTAAGGGTCCTCCTGTGCCTACAGCCTCATAGCTGTATATCTGACAGGAGAGAACAGAGTTGGTAGATTATCAGGGTGTTGCTGCTAGAGTCAGCCCTTTCAGCAGACTGCAGGCAGTGGGACAATGTTTTCCCTTAGTTCTGGATAGAATTGAGAAGAGTTGGACATCCTCCTCAGGTTTTTGCAGTTATCTGGATAGCTTTACACTCACTTATTCTCCAACAGCAATACAGACAGTACTAAAAATGCTTTTCCTTGGATAATTATGGAAAGGCAGGACCCACTGTCAGGTTCATTTCTGCCCGTTTTCCTGCTGCAAAAACATCCCTCACTTCCTGTTTGGGGAAACAGTTGTCAGCAAGACGGGCAGGGGTATGGACATTTTTGAAAAATTACTTGTCCAGGGACTAAAACCAATCCACTTGTTCAGATTAAAAATTTTTTTTAATCAAAACCGTATTTAAATTGGAGGTGATTTTAGGAATGTCTGCAGCTTTTAAAAACAAAAAGGGGCTTTATGGTGTAATATTTTTAACATTGCACTGTTTATCTCCTCCTCCCCTCCCTGCCTGCCTCCAGCACCGCACCCGGGAACTAGCAAGGAGGAGAGAGACCTTGCAGTGTAATCAGCACCGATTGGCTGCTCATCAGGAAAGGGTGGGTCAGGGCTTTTACTTGGATCCCTTTCGCTGCCAGAGCCGTTTTTTGCGTTTAAAAAATTAATTTAGGCCTGAAAATTACATAAAACCCCCAAACATATATTTTCTAAAAGCAGAGACCATAGAGAATAAAACAGTGGTAGTTCCAATTTTTTATGTTGCATATTACCACAAAATGTCAGTAAAAAATACAGGTAAGTTAATTTTAGGGCACAAAAAAAAGCAATAAATTGCCTTATTTTTTTGTAAAATATAAAATATGAGGTTGCATCGAGTAAATAGATATCCAACTGGTCAAACCTTACATTTGTGCACACTCGTGAAATGGCGACGGACTTCAGTACCCTATATTTTCGATAGGTCGACACTTTTAAAGCTCCTTATAAGTCACCAGTTTAGTGTTACGCAGGAGGTCTGGTGCTAGAATTATTGCTCTCATTCTGGCGTGCACGGCGATATGTAACATGTATCACAATCGACGGTTGCATGTGTAGCGTGTGCTTTTACGTTTGTACATGGGTATATGTGTGGGGGGGGGGGAGGGAATAGTATGTGCTTGTGTGTAACTCATTTTTTACAATAGAAAAAAAAAATTTTTTTTTTTTTTTTTTTTTTTACATCACATAGCTGGCATGTGATGATTTTTGGTGACAAGTTTGCTAAGACATCCAAGGTCTATAAGACCCTGGATGTCTCCCCTCTGCTCCACTGAATGTAATATGGTGCACATCACACCATACCACAATCTTTCCCAGGGATTGCATTAAAATCTCTCAGCGGGGACCTGAAAATTACATGGTAACGTCACTTCCTGGTCAGCACAAGAAGGGGAGGGGAGTGGATTTGTCCGCTCTTCTCCCTCACCTCTAGTCGATGGCGAGCCGGGCTTGCAGATGAGCAAGCGGAACTCGGGAGACCTCATGCCGAGGGTGCGGAGAGGCTGACACTGTGTGAAGCAAATCGGTGGCAGCGCTGCCGCCGATTGCTTCACCTGACAGGTGAGCCCTGCTGCTTGCCCACAGCAGGGCTAAAGGCAGAAAGAAAAACTACATGTCCCGGGCATCAGCCAATAGGAATCCAACATCCCTGACAGGATAGGAGGGTAAATATCTCTAATAGAGCACTGGCTAACAGTAAACCTATGACAAAAGTTCTAATCCTTAGCAAAAACAGGAAAAAAAAAAAAAAAAAAAATCTGGTTTGATATACAAAGACAATCAAGGTTTGAACCCTCTGACTCTGCGGTCCGGCAAAAATTGAATGAAACGCAAACATGGCGGGAATACAAACATTTTTCCAGACCAGACAGTTAACATGTGCATTTTAACTGTGTTTGCTTGCAACAAGAATCAAACAAATTTAATAAGCTAGTATCATGTCTGTAAATATGCTTACCATTCAGTTCTTGTCGACTTGCTCGAGAGCTATTAATCTGAGAGAACAAGAGTTGCATCTCTTGACTTGAATGAATTTGCAGTTTCTTGTGAATGATATGCACTGAAGCCACCTAAACGAAGCATATAAAATCAGAAATTATAATTTTAGGATATAGATAGACTATGAAGTGCTATAAAACTAGTGGCATACTTAATTTATAAAATACAAACATGCAAGCCTGGTACCTGACTGTGTATTTGTTGTCCCAAATTTTCATCCTGGTCCAGTAAAGATGAAGTCTGTGGTTGGTGAAGCTCATCTCCTAAAGTTGTAGAATTACATTTAAAATCAGTACAGATGACAACTAATCTAAAAATATTGCAAAAGAAGCAGAAGGAAGACATGGCATTAAAACAAATAAGTGAGAAAATATTTTGAAAATGAAGGGCTTAAAGAAAAAGATTAGGTTAGACTATGGGCCCATGTTGAGAAGAAATAATGCACCTACAGTCAGAAGAGGTCAAAAAGGAACAGGAGGTATGGTAAACTACAGTCATGTAAAAGAAGGTGGCTGTCTAAGGGTCTAGCTTTGAAACATACTTCTGCATCAGTCTGGGAACTTTTAATACTGAACTGGAATGGAGCTTTAGACAGAATTAGTGAGCTCCAGCTCTAGCTCTTAGCAAAGCTTGCTAAAGCCTCCAAAATAACAGATAGACATATACAGGATAGATGAAGGAATCTCCAGAGCAGGCTAGATTGGGTAGCTGCAAAGACTGCATTGGATACGAAGCAGTCACCGTTCAGCCTAAATATTTCCATTCAACTGATGGAAAATGATGCGCAGATTTTACTTGCAGAGATATCAGTTTTCATGCGCACTTCAATGACCTGTATACATGTTGCAGATTCCGTCGCAGAAAAAAATCTGCATGTGATACTAGTGTTGTGGTGTGTAAAGGGCACAGAGAACAATTGATTTCTCTGTGCCCTTGCAGAACACATGCAGAAAAACTGACGTCTTTGCATCATGGTGTGAACAAGCCCTTAAGGGGTGAATAAGGCCTAAATCAGCTTGTTAATTCAGGGGGTTTCAGTTAGTGCAGCAAGAATCACCCAAAATGTTAAATTTCTATGGTCAACTTCAGTTTTAAAAGCTAGAGACAGTATCCCTATTCAGGAGTATGTACATCCAACATTTCATATTCCTGATATTTGCCTACTGTACCTGTGTACTTGTATGAATAAGCAACCTGTTATCTTTGTATTACTTCCTTTGTGTAAAGTCCTGGTGTTGCCATCAGTTCCCCTCTGCCTTCCTAATAAAAACTGACCGCACTAGGCAGAAGAGTACATCATGGTCAGTTTCGTAGATGTGCTGGGAACTAGCCTGTTTTCCTCCAATGATCAGACTTGTCCTGACACTCCACTCCTATATAGCGGTTCACTAGGAAGATCAGTGCGATTGCCTTTTCTCCTCTCCCAGCTCTTATGCATCCTAGAACTAAGGACTAATGTGACTACTTATAAAAAAATAAAAAAAAAAAAAAATTCTAAATACCTTTTTTGTATCTATACACAAAATGTTTTGCCTTGCTTTTATATTTTAAACTGAATGGGTTATTTTACAAGCTGAGGGGTAGCAATTGCTTTAGGGTCAAAAGCCCAGATTAGGGCCGAAGCATTAAAGGGTTTTAAGGAAGTTGCTTAAAGTTTGTTAAATAGCTTGCTGAAGCAGATTAGAGTTTAGAAGGTGAAGATTAAATAATATCCATGTCTTTATGGCCTGGTATATTGTCTGTTACAATTAGTAGATTAAATATCTAACTTTTTTCACCTGGGTGAATGTCCTTCGACTCAAAGTTCTTCAGTGCATAATGCTCTTGTATGGTCTCCATCTCTTTTCGATAATGTTCCTGAAGTTCTATTATCTTTGCTGAATGTCCCTCATTTTCTTCAGAGTGCTCATTTAGGTACTTTTTAATCTCCTGAAAATTACAAATCACCAATTGGTTTATTTGTTTTGAAAGATTTGCTAACTTATTCTCCCATTCCATATTTTCCAGTTTGTGAAATTCCAGTAGGTCCTTCACCTCCATGTTATGCTGTTCTTTAACCTTTCTTAAATCTTGTAAACTCTCCTCCAGTACCAATTCAGGATCATCTGCATTTTCACTTTTCACAGACATATCTTGCGTCTTCTGGAAACTTTGTATATTCATACTCTCCCATTGTTCCTTTTCTTTTGCATGAAGCTCCACAACTTTCTGCATTTCTCTGCTGTGCTTGTTTTGAATATCCAAGAGAGTCTTTGAGAATTCTTCTTGAAGTTCTTCCAACATCTTTGAGTGATGTTCTTCTTTCTGCAAAGAGACTTGTAAAAGTTCTTCTCCAATACGCTTCAGCTCTAATGAATGCTGGTTCACCAGAAGATCTAGCTCTTGAGAGCATTGGTCTCTCTCTTTTTCCACTCTCTCTTTTGTCTTTGATGTTGTTCTTTTTCTTCTTTCATACCATTCTCATGTTGCTCTTGTAAATGCTCAATTGTCTTCGAATGTCCTTGCAGCTGCAAAATCTTTAAAGAAATCTCATCCTGTAGTTGCTTTATCATCTCTGACTGTTGCAATCTATCCTTCATTCCAGTCTTCTCTCTCATGAATGAGGAGATTGTGAAGTGCTTCCACTTCTTTATATTGCTCTTTAAGCTGCAGTATTTCTTTTGAAAATTCCTTTTGTTGTTCCTGCCAAAGCTGTTTTTCTTGAAGATGAGTATTACATAGTTGCTCTTTTTCCTGGTTATGAAGGCTTTGTACCTGAAGCATTTCAGATGAGTATTTCTGCGATAATTGCTGAATCTCTTCTTTATGCAACTCATTTTGTTGCAAAGTATTTTGTGAAAACTCCTCTTCTAAATGCTTTAGTTCCTGGGAATGCTGGTCTATCTGGTTTTTCCATTCCCATTTCTCCTCGACATAATCTTCCTTTATCTTCTCAGTTTCCTGGGTATGCGGTTTTAGTTTAATTACTTCCACTGCATGTTCTTTCAATAAATCAATATGCTCCAAATTTTGATTTTTGAAGGTTTCCTCAAAATGTTCACCTTGAAACCGTTCCAAGTTCTCACAGTAGTAATTTTTCTGGTTTTCCCACTCTAGTTTTTCCTTTGCATAAAGCTTTTCCAAGGTATCTTTTTCTGTATTATGCAGTTCCTGAAGTTGTTTTATTTCCTCAGAAAATTCAAGCTTAATTTTATCTGTCATTTTTGACTGCAACTCCTGCTGCTGCAAAGTGTCTTGTAGTTTTTCTTCTCTTAGTAGCTTTATTTCTTTGAAATGCTTGTCTTGCTGTGTTTCCCACTCATCATAGCGAGCTTGTAGGTCTAGTTTTTTTCTTTTATATGCAATTCTTGCAGATCTAAAATTTCCTTTGCATGCTGTTCCTTTAGCAAGTCAAAGTCTGTTGCCTGCACCTCAAGCTGTGCTGTTTTCTGGGCAAGTTCGTCTTGAAGAGGTTTCATATCTTTGAGATAAAGTTCATGTTGCCTCTTCTGCTCCTCTTTTTCCTTTCCATGAAGATCTGTTAACCTTTCCATTTCAAAACTAAACTTTTGCTGCAGAACCAAAGCTGCTTTTTTATTTTCTTCCCTTAGCTGTTCAATCTCTAATGAATGCTCTTCTTGCAGTTTCATATTCTCCTGTGAAAGCTTAGCTTTAAGATTCGTCAACTCTTTATTATGGTCATCCTGTAAGCGTTGCAATTCAAACTGATGATGGCTCTGAAGAAGGGCTACCTCTTGAGATCGTTTTTCATTTAGGGTCTCTCGAAGTTGTACCAAGGCACTCTCTTTTTCTTTGAGCAGGTTTGCTTGACTTAATTCTAGCTGGACAATATGCATGTTGGTCAGACTAAGTCGTAAAGCTTCCAGGTCCACATTATGCACATGCTACAAACATAAGGCATGAAAAAACAGTCAATTACTCACAAAAGAAATAAAATAAATCCATATCCTTCATACATACATCTTTTACACCATAAATTTCCTAAATGCAATTTAACATTCTACCAAAGTAGAATAAGAATCAATGGAAATATTTGGTAATTAACCAACCATATGCATATGTTTGGCCTCGGTATTTGATAAAACCATAGGAAAGCTTAAAATGTAGTTTTGACCACTTCCCTTCAAGCACTTTTGCAATTTATGTCACATGGTATTTACGCAGCAATTTTTCAAGCATAATTTTTTGGAAGCAATATACTTTAATTTGAATGCAAAAACACTATATATAAACAAATTTCTTGGTAAACAAGATCATGTTACGCGGAGTAAACAGATACCCAACACACTTTAAAACTGCACACACTTGGAATGGAGCCAGACTATGGTACTTAAAAAATCTCCATAGGCAACATAGCCTGTAGCTGCAGGCATCATCCAGATATCTTCACTCAAAACTCCAAGGCGTCATATGGCATCCTATGGGCAGGAAGTGGTTAAAGAGTTAGTTCAAAACCACCCCCTCCTCTTCCCCTTTCTCACTGTCCTTAGAAGTCAGTGTCCACACAGCCAGTGCAGCAGTCCAGGGAAATAGCCACCCCTACTTTTCTCCATCATTGTGCCGGACTACCGAAACGGATCAGAGCGATGCTCCGTGTTCCCGTATCTAATCAGCATTACTCTGATCTGTCCCGGTAGTGCTGCACAAAAGAAAGGGGGGAAAAAAAAAAAAAAAAAGTTTACTTTTGCAGTGGGGCTGCTGTGTACACATTGCAAGAGTCAACTGCTCCTTTTGTCCATGGGAGAGGAGAAAGTTCTATAAAATCACCCGATTTTCCACTCCACCAGCAAATAGTGCTCCCGCACAATCCAGCAGTGGAATGTTCCAGGTATCCACAGCAGGCCTATTGAGCATGTTCTGGGCTTAATGACATCAGGAACAATCCATCATTCAAGACTGCTGGAAAGCAGGGGTGCAGGAGCTGCAGGGACTGGTCTTGCACAGGGAGGATCAGGTAAGTATATCTCCTGTCTCCTCTCCCCTTGACAAAAACAAGCAATTAACTCTTGCAGTGTTGGCGCAGCCATATTGCAAATAAAAACTTTCCTTTTAACCGGAGTGCAACTTTAGGCCTTGAGTCAAAGCATCTGAAAATGGTGCCAGAAGGAACCATCAGGTCTAGCAGCTCCCCATATAACAAAAGCAGACATACTGCATTACTCCTTAACTCACCTGTTCCTTTAGTTTGCTTTGTAGACCGTCATTCACTTGCTTTAGTAAAATTACTTCTTCGTGCAAGCTCTCCTTCCTGAAAAACTCTTCTTCTTTTGCTTTAATTGCCTCTTGCAGCAACTGTTGTTCCAGGCCTTTAGAGTTCAGTTTGTTATCAAAGTCCTGACGTTCAGATTCTCTGACCTTTTCAGAGTCGTGCAAATTCTGGGCAAGATTAACATTGCTAATCTGTAGGTTTTTATTTAACTCTAGGGTCTTTTCTAGCTCTTTTTCCACCACAGCCAGCCTATTTTCCAAGAAAACATTTTTATCTGCAAATTGTGATAACTCTTCATCTTTAGCCAGCTGTTGGTTCTGTATCTCGTTAAAATGCTGTCCCTGACTTGACATTACTTTAAATTCATCTCTCTCTTTCTTAAGAACTTCAATTAGTCTTTGCTGTTCGTCTGCGTTTCTATTAAATGTCCTTTCTCTGTCTAGTTCCAATTGTGTAGTAGCTAGATCAGCTGTCACTTCTCTCCATTTATTTATAGCTTCTTCGAGAGACTCAGAGCACATTTGTAATTGTTTCTCTTTCTCCTGAAGTTGCACCATAAGAACACTGCATTTCTGAAAAGCATGGTCAGCAAAATCAGGGCTTTCTTCACTTTTCTCATCTGAAAATCCTAAATTTTTTGATAAATAAATGGCAAAAGACTCGGGATCCAAAACTGTGCCCAGAGATGCAGCACCTGATAAGACACCAGTGATCGGCATAGGCGAACAAAAGAGTGGAAGGTTTCCTTCTATTGTGGAGCTGATACTTTGCTCTAGCATAAAGTCACTATCCAGTTCAAATCTGCTGTGGTCCCCAACATCTTCATGACCATAGGACACTTCAAGCAATTCAGGCTGGCTAGGCATCAAGTACTTATCCATGGAAGTCAGGCCTTCATTAGAAGGAACTGGTTCATTGTAATCTTCCTTGTGAAGTGGAGCTGTATTTTTATACTCATTCATGGCTTTCACCCGGCTTAAATTCTTCTTGATGTCTTCTAGTTCATGCCTGAAATGATCTTCCTTTAAATCATTTTCTTCATTTATGTCAAAACCTTCCTTTTTGTTACTTGACAATTTCTCACACAGCATTTCTTTAGTCTCCTCCATGCTTTGAAGTTTTAGTATGTATATTTGTAAGTCTCTGTCATGTCGTAGTTTTAATTTTTTACTGTTTTCTGTTTCAAGCCTCAAGCTTTCCTTCAGATCACGAATTTCTTTGTTAAAGTGATCCTTGTCAGCTTTGTCCTGAGCTGCAGTCTGCTCTGCTTGATGCAACTTTTCCTTGAGGCTCGACACCTCACCATTGTGCCTCTGTTCCCAAGATAGTCTTTCAGTTTCAAAGTCTTTCATTTGTTTTTCCATCTTCTTGATCAAAGATTCTCGAACAGACTCCGATTCTGCCAATCTCTCTTTTAAATCAATGACAAGCAGGGAGAGAGACTCAATGCTGTCTTGTCCACTGATAAAGAGTCTTTGCATTTTGCCACCATCTTTATCATTACCTGAACAAGGTGTGACATCTGGTTGAATAGGGATGGATATGCTAGGTTTTAGATCTAGAACCTCCTGATTTCTTTCAGAAACTTCCTGCTGCAGATGAGTGACAGAACTTTCTGTTAGATTTAGTTTCTCTTGAAGGATTTGAAGTCTCCTTTGCTGTTCATGCAGCAAATTTTCAAGTTTTGCCATTTGGTTATCCTTTTCTTTAGTAGTCTGAAATAAACATAATTATTTGTGGTGCTGCTGAAGAGTATACTTCCTAAACAGTCTACACATTCAGTGGAAAAAAAAAAAAAAAAAAAAAAAAAAAAACATTCTTAAGCTGTCTGAATAAACAGTTACCTTATGAGAGGTTTCTAACGCTCTTTCTAGGTCTCGTGCTCTTCTGACAGTTTGATTCATGAGGTCACTAT